AAAACTCTGGGGTCAATACAATAAAAGCAATGTTCTGACCTGCTCATTTACCTGTGCAATGAGTATACTGAATTTAAAGATCTATACCAATGAGACCTTCTGTTGTTTTAAAAAGAACTAAAATGTAAAATATTTTCCAGTGTCAGACTTATGATATAGAGCTAAGAAGCAAAGTTATAGCACAGAGTTGAACTTTTAACATTATCCAGCAACATTAAATAAAAGGCATTGTGATAAGCAGAATGGACAATAGGACACAGTTCCTCTCTTCATGAGCTTCCAACTACACAGAGAGATAGGAAATACATTTTAATTATGATGCAAGACTCAATGTGCTAAGAGCCATACAAAAGGTACAAAATGCTACCAAGGTGAAAGGGTAAAGAGTTTATTCTGGCTATGGGATTTAGAGAGTTTTACAGAAGAGACCTGTGTTCCTGTATTAAGCTCCACCCACCCAACTATATTATACAAAACCTGAGACAAGCAAAGGTCAGACAGATAAACAGTTATTATAATACCATGTATTAGAATTAACCAGCACTCTAAGACAATGGTTCTCAAAGTGGACCAACACCATCAGCATCACCTGGGAATTTATTGGAAATGCAATTATCAGGCCCCACCCAGACATACTGAATCAAATTGTGAGGGCCTCACCCAGCAATCTACTAGTATTTTAAAAGCTCTCTAGGGTTGATTCTAATGCACACTGAAATTTGAGAACCACGCTCTAAAAGAAAATGGAACGAGTATCTAGGTCAGAAAATCTTTCACATATGTCAGATCTGAGCAGAATGACAAAGGATGAAAAGCAAATAACCAGAAAAGATGAGACAGGAAAATCATAGGAGAGGCACTCTAGGCAGAGGATGAATATACAAAGACCTAGAGGTAAGTACCTGGGAAGTGTGCGGTGAGAGCAATACCAACATATGAGTCTGAAAAGAAAGAAGAGGCCAGAGCATGCAAAAAGGACCAGGCGTAGGCATTAGTTTCTCTCTGAAAGGCCTGGCTTGGTCCTTCATACATAGAAGGGCTCAGGTATCATACACCAAATTCAACTGTTTATCTTTTGAAACGTCATTTCATCACTGATAAACTACATAAAATCAAGCTTTCTACCCAATGCTACTTCACGAGCAGAAGTAATTCTAGGGGCGCTAGAGAGAAGGGTAACTCAGCCTTGGAGACTGCTGTTGTCGGTTCCTAACATCCCACTATGTATTCCTTAAAAGTCTCGAGACCTGAATCATATCAACAGCACTTAGCAAACAGGTTAAGCATGATTTTAGGAGGGGCTAACGACTGCCTAGTTTCCAAACAGGAACTTATTTTGACTTGTTATATCAACAAAAACACACCTTATTTTTACTAAAAATGTTCTTCTTCTTGAAAGAGAATAAAATAATATCCCTAAAATCAGCTGGATGTTTCACATGAATATCTTCTGAACGATATTGGAGAACCCGAGAAGTCTTGTTGATTAGCCAGTAGGGACTAAAGACAGATAGCACCATCCGAATGCCAATTCTTCTGACATGTATTGACAGGTCGACTGTCATCACTTCTGTGGAGTCAGAAGAAAAACACACAAGAAAGAATTCCGGAAGTGTATCATGTATACGGAAATGTCCACTCCAGTTTTTGCCCTGATATTTCACCAGAACTAATTCCATTATTTCTCCACTTATTCTTGAATGTAGAACATCAGCAGCACTGCCTTCTGCTAGCTCATGAGTTTCTGCTGTTCCCTAAAAACAAACAAAGACTGATTTTGCTTAGTGATTTTTTAAACTTCTGCAATAACAACATTGTATTTGATACAAATGCTAAGTATCCTACCAGATTAATTGACAAGTTCTCAATAAAGTAATATATTATGAATATTCACTAATCATTAAGGACTAAAAAGAAAACACTAAATCATAACCAGAGGCAGAAAATTTCTTTTGGCCATAAGTTTAAAAAAAAAGTCAGATCTTTGACAAGAATCACAGGCTGGATTTAGGAGCCCTGGCTGTTGTCCATTAAAAGCTATGTCATTAAATAAGCCATTTAAATGACTGAGATTCAGCTTCATCCTCCATTTACATACTATGCCTAATAGTTTCCACATAAATAGACAAAGAAAAGTTATATCAAACTATTCTGGCAAGCTATCTAAGTAAGATAGGATTTTTTTAAATGAATAACAACATAATAAGTTAGGCATTTTTACTGAAGGCTTCTCTAGTATAAATACTATTTAGTTCATTTAATTAATTTTAGTCTTCACAAATCAGGTTTGGCTAATTGTCAGATAAAGAAAATAAATAATTTAGGTTCCACTTTCCAGACTTGTGTATGTTAAAATGTGTGACATACAGAAATTTAAAAATATTTATAATACTTCATTACTAGAAAATATTCCCAATTATTTAACATGGACAGTAATTATTTTTAAGTTCAACAGAAGCTGGGAACAAATAATCACATTAACCTTAAAATTAACTTTAGAATTAAGATAAAATATTTTCTCACTGGCTTTTTTCTGTCCTTCAGATAATAGATTTTTACTTAATTATACTCAATATTATTATAATAACTGTGGCTGGTGTCAGATAGGAATTAGACTTATTGGGGTGATCACTTCATAAATGTCTAATCACTATGTTCTTTACCTAGAACTAATAAAATATTGTATGTCAACTGTAATTTAAAAATAAAAAATTATAAAAATAGATTATAATTATAAAAATAGATTCTTAATTTATGACAGATGCAGCAGAGTTAGGTGATAGGGAACAAGGAGGCAAACTGCCTCTGTTCAAATTCCAGCTCTACAATTTATTAGCTGTAGGATCTTGGGCCTGTCACTAACCCCACTGTGACTCAATTTCCTCACCTGAAAAATGGGTCTAATAAGAGTACCTACTTCAGGAGGTTATAATGTATTAATACATCTACAACACACAGCATCATGGCTGGCACCAAATAATGCTATTCTAGTTTTTGCTGTTATTAATATTATTAATGCATTATAAATATGCTATGTAAAATACTGACCTCAACTAAAAATATTATTTAAAAAACTAGAATTCACTCCATGCAATAATAAAAATCAAACAAAATGCAAGCAACATACCTCAAGTAAATATTTTAGGGAATATGGGAGAAGATTCCGCAAAGTGAGGGTAGGGTAAAGATGAATAATGTAAGCCGGATCCCAGTCTTCCCCATGTGTACATATATAGCTTAATTCATCAGGCAGAGCAACTGTATTGACTATGAGAGGTAAGAAGTTGACTTCTACTGATGGACACTGCAGCATGCATCTCACTTCCCTGCTCCTGTGAAGTTCTTCCTTCCAGGAAATGTAAGTGGTAGATTCTCTGTATTGAGTCTCTAAGACACCAGCTGGTTGAATAAATAATTGACATCTACAGAAAAAAAAAGCAGGGTAGAGAAAAAAGTTTTTATTGAGAATGTAAGAAAAAGAATCTCATTATATCTTCTTATTAACTCTACAAGGTAAGCACTATTATCCCTATTTTTACAAGTGAGAAAACCAAAGCTAAGAAAGATTAAAGAAACTTGCCCAGTCACAATGCTATAACAGATGGAGGAATGTTCTGGGGGAAAAAACACTCTGTAAACAGTAATTTTTTTTATTAACTACATTTTTTCAACTAATCTAAAATACTATTGATTGCAAGCTCACTTTATTTACTTACTTACTTTTTTATTTGTTAATCCTCTCCCTAGGATATTTTTCCACTGAGTTTTGAGAGAGGGGAAGGGAAGGAGGGAGAGAGACAAAGAAAGAGAGAGAAAGAGAGAGAGAAACATCAATGTGACAGAGACTCATCACCTGGTTGCCTCCCACATGCAACCCAGATTGAGGGCAGGGCGCAAACCCCCAACCCAGGTGTGTGCCCTTGACCAGGAATCAAACACGTGACGGTCGCCTGGCTGACACTCTAACGACTGAGCATACCGGCCAGGGTAACAATGATAATTTTTTTAAAGTCATTTCAAGTAAAAAGACAATCTAATAAAAATAGGTCTAAGAAGATTCTAAAACATCAAATATACAGTAAATTTTCATCTGGTAAATTCAATGATACTATAAATGTATACCTCTATAACTCCATATATGTCTAAAGGCTACTTCTACAGATCTCTAGATAATAAAACTATAAGGTCATCTTCTCTAAAATATAAGTCCCCAATTCATAGATTTAAAAAAATATACATTATGAACCTTTAAAAGCTTAATATATTCAAGGAAGTACCTACCTATACGAATCTAAAGGAACATGGAACTCCTCTTCAGGTCTTGCTACTCCAATGCGCTCCAATAACTTAACATTTTTAACAGATTTATAGATGATGAATGCAATAGAGAAATGGTTTTTAATCTGTTGGATAAAAAAGACAAACACTGTTTAAAAAGATGCAGAAGTTCAAAAGAAAAATGTGAACTGCATACAATTATTTTTACATATAAAGTTTCAAGGCCAATATTAGGAGACATTTTTATTGGTAATTGAAAATTTTTAGAACACTTAAGCGCTATATATATGAAAGGATGTTTAAGTGGCAGTTAAAAATTATTAGGGTAGTACATACTCTACTACATGCTGATGTTTATTTTTTTTAATATTTTTTTATTGATTTCAGAGAGGAAGGGAGAGGCAGAGAAAGAGACAGAAACATCAGTGATGACAATCAATAATCAGTCACTTCCTGCATGCTCCCTACCAGGAATCGAGCCTGCAACCCAGGCATGTGCCCTGACTGCAAATGAAACTGTGACCTCCTGGTTCATAGGTTGACAATCAACCATTGAACCACGCAGGCCTGGCCATACTGATGTCTATTGTTAGTGTATAATGTTATCATTCAAATACATATTAATCTGAAGATTTCAGGCATAATACTTTTTCCATTAAAACCTTTTCTCAATGCACTACATGATTATATTGAAAAGGATAGAAAAGGAATTACGAGAAAAAAGTAGTACAACTCTCTTTTCTTTACTACAATATGATTTAGGCTTGAACTAATAGCAAACTGAGAGCTAACAATAGCCAAAATTTGAAATCATTTCCTTTTTATCTAATGTTATAGGTAGGAAGACATTCTTTTGCTGACCATATACTAAAATCTGTAATAATGCACAGAAAAGGAAAAAAAGGATAAAGCCTTAAAGGTATAAAAGAAAACAATCATATAGAGTAAGATGTTAAAATTTAGGGGTAGGGATCTGGGTAGAGCATTCCAATATTCCTTCACACATACTTGAAAAATTCAATCCCAACTGATATACAAACAGAATGAAATGTTACCCTATTTGACAAACAAAATTATATAAAATTGCTCAGTTCTGAATCTATAAAGAATAGACAAAAAGCTTCCTTAAAATTAAGCCCAGGAGGAAAGAAAAATGGGCTTTAAATTAGCAAATTTGTCTTAATCAGACATTTAAAATAAAGAATATTACAAAAGCTAATTGGGTAGGAAATAGTAGCTAGTTCAATCTGTTATTTATTTCTAAACTAGAGGCCCGGTACTTGAAATTCATGCACGGGTAGGGTCCGTAGGCCTGGCCAGCAATCAGGGCCTTCCAACTGCTGGCAGGGGCCTTCCTTTGTTCCGTGCTGCCCCCTGGTGGCCAGCACATGTCATAGCGAGCAATCGAACTCGGTCCAATTCTGAGGGGACACTTTGCATATTAGCCTTTTATATATATAGATAATCAATAATAACTTAATGAAGTTTTACTATATTCCTATATTCACCCAAATGATTTAATATTAATTGATATACTTAAAGGGACACAGTTCAGTTTAATGCATTACCTGAAGAGGAGAGCGAAGGGTGATCACTTTATTCCCTTCAGTTGCATCAATTTGTACCAAGACTGAATCAGAATGACTGGCATTGGGATTCCGTACATTGTACAACTGCCGACCAGGTCTGACAATAGGGACTTTTGCAACTTCTGTATATCCATGAGGTACTAATTCAAAGCATAAGTGAGAAGCATCCAAGTTATTAATTTAATTATATTTCTCTTAGAATAATCATCAGTGTTCTCCTTCATGCTTATAAATAACTACACGATACACTTGTCTAAGACACAGGAACTAACAAAGAAAGAAAATGAGCTATTATTATACTATTTAGGACCCAAAATAATTTCTTTTGGGGTTTTAAATATATTAAAATAAAGTAACATTGTGGTGTTTAGAAATTCTTTATTGCTTCAGGTGTGGCATGCAACATTTTGGAAGGAAAACAAAGAATTGATCAAGAAGACATGAATTGAAGCAAATGATGAAAAGTAATATTTTATTTAACACTGATCAACTCACAATAAAATTATATAGAAAATACATGTTTGAATACTTTTAATTGCTGGGCAGTAAAATGTTTTCTTTAAAAAATAAAAAAAAAGTAACAAAATCCAATTTGTTCCATAGTCCCTCAACCACATAGGAACTTTTGTTTGTGAAGGTAATAATTGCTGTCAATATTGTAGGACTTCTGAATATAATTACTTTTCTCTCCTCATTGAACTCCCATCCTTATTGAAACATATCACATACTGTATTGTTTAAAAACATAGAATTAATCTAGTTTCTAAGGTAATTCTTAAATTAAGTTTAATTTTCTCAAGTTTAAAGGAAGAAAAAAGAGACAAGTGTCTATCAAATATCTGTTTCAAGCCTTCAGAAATGTCATCTCCAAAGGCATCTTCAACAAAATATTTTTTCCATATTTTGTCAAAAATAAACCCACACCAACATTCCAAAGATGCCCTTAATATATGATCTCACTTATATGTGGAATCTAATGAACAAAATAAACAGATGAACACAATAAAAACCAGAGGCATGGATATTGGAACAGACAGTTTTTAGAAGGGGGGGTGGGAGGGGGTTTACTAGA